GCATTGGGTTGGGTTTTTTTCCTTCCACATGTAATGAACAATTGCATTTGTGCATGATTTGGTTTTTATATTTATTATTATTATTGCTTTTAGTATTATTATTGTTCTCCTCCTTTGTTATCCTATTAAACTGTCTTTATCTCAACCCAGAAGTAGTTTTTTCCCCTCCATTCTCCTCCTCATCCCCTTGGGGAGGGAGGGGTGAGTGAGCGGCTGCCTGGTGCTCAGTTACCCGCTGGGGTTAAACCCTAACAGGTACATTCTGGGAGTTCAACCTACTGACGATGTAAAAATTTTTTTTAATCCCAGGAGTCCCTAGGTACAAGGCCAGTGAAGCCAGAGGACAGAGCCCCGCTGCCGGCAGCACGGCCACACCACCCACCTCCTTCCATTCGTTGACGCAGAAGATTCTGTAGGAGTCATTCCCGTACTTCCCGATCCCGTGCAGCTCGATGGGGTACTTCCACTGCTTGCTCAGGTACTCATCTGCAACGTACAGTCATGGACTTCACTGCCTGTGGGCAGGCAGGTCACAGAAAGCAACACTGGACAAAAACCTCAATTCTCTGCTATTTTAACATATCTCCACTTTGGAAAATTTTAAGTGAAAAATGCAAGCTTTAGCTATTTCATGGTGAAAGTAGGCAATGAATCCCTATGGGGTACATCTTAAACACCTTTTAAACAAATCACTGTGGGTGAGTTTTAATTAAATGTCTCTCCTCAGAAGCCACAGAGGAATACTTTTATTTTAAGTATAGAAAATACCAGAATCATAGAAAAAAATCCATCTGGAAGGGCCTTCTGGAGGTCACCTGATGCAAAACAGAGCAGAGCCACCTTACCATAGCGCTGCAAAACACTGAATCAAGCCTTGCAGGCATTTGGATCTTTTTCCCCAGACAAAGGTCTCTTGCAGAACTCATTACATATACATTACTTCATTCTCAGCTAAGACAGCAGGATCAACAGCTTTGCATATGTACAACCAACTTATACCAAAGTTGCATAAAACCAACCACCGCTTGCCAAACAGAAGGAAAAGTCACAGAGTGCTGTTTAATAATGCTGCTTGTCCTGCCAGTGTAATTCAGACCATTCCACAGATGTACTCAGGAAAACCTACCAGAGAACTTGATGATAGTTTTCGCTCTGAGTTCGTAGAGGCCGAGAGGTTTGAGCAGCTCTGACATTTCTTTCCAGTCTGCAGTCCTGGTTATTTCAGGAGAAGGATACTTCTTAAGGAACTCCCAGAGCACAGGAATTGCCATTTTACCTAATGACAGAAATCATCATGAACAAAAGGCTGTGCAGGCAATTCTCTTTTTTTATGTGTTTTCTGAAGCGAGCTTTTTCTGAGGCAAGAGTTACAAATTAAAGCTGGTTTGTTTTTTTTTTTTTTTTCCACACTGACACAAGTTAATATAATTTATTCTTTCATTAATGCCATTAAAAAATGGCAGCTGTTCTGACCCTATACCATCACCCCAACATTTACACAACATGACATCGTATTAGTCTATTTACCTGATGTTTTATTGAGAAATATGGTTGCAATGAGAAGTTTCCATGGATCGTGGAAAAGTGTTTCTTGGATCAAATTAAAAGGAGAACGCGGAGGAGTCCATTTTCTGAAGGCCTTCCTTCTGGGTGGGCTGGGAGCTGTACACAGAGGCAATACAGGAAAATTTAGTGGGCAGTAAAGGATAGATTTAAAGGAAAATAATTTTTAAAAAATGAAGACCTTTTGAAGCAGATTCATCTTTGTGGGGGCACTACATGTGGATGGAACCACAGCAATTCAGAGATTAATTTTACAGAACTGCAAAGGACTACGCGTCCCCGGCACAGACTGCAGTAAGAGTCAAGGCTGCCCGTGCCATGCCCCCGTGCTCCACATGACAGGTTTTCTGAGGAGAGAGGCCCGCCCCAGCTACCGCCACGCTCCTTTCCAAGTGCAGAGCAGCAGGCACAGGGTACAGGGTTTCCCCTGAGAGGGGAAACACCTCAGCACTCTGAGGAGAACTTCCCCACAGCCCCCTCACCCCACCACCTCGCAGCTGCCGAGGCATTCGATACAGCCTTAACAGTTGTTTGCAAGACACAAACCACTGAGGTTTAAAATGGGACAAGATCAGCACTAGTGCAGTAAGCCAAGGTCTCCGATGCCACCTAAGCATGGCCAACCTAAAACTGGAAAAAATTTTCTGTAACATCACTCGATCTTGAGCCATCCTGTTCGTCCCCCCATAGAAAAAGATTTATTTCCCTAAAGAATATTATACCTTCTTTACTGTATTTACTTGAAAAATACGGACTTGTTTTCCTCCTATCCACTTGTGTTCGTGGGATAGACTCTTCTGTAAAGAAATAATACTTCAGCATTAAAAACAAAAACCCCAGGTATTTTGGTGTCATGTTTCACACACCATTTCCACTTTACGTTGTGATGGAAATACAAGGATTTCTTGTAGGGGTACAGAACATAAACGTGCTTTAGATTTGCTCCAGTATTCCTCTGTATTTCAACTCTAAGAAAAATCTTCGGAAGACAAACCGTTACTTTGCCACAGTCTGAGGAAAGAGGCTCAAACTACAACCAAGGATTAAATGTTGTCTGCACACTCTAGCACATGAAACAAACTAAAACTACCCTTTTTTATGAATCAAACTGACCAACTGTGCAACAACATTAAAAGAGTTAATGCAGCAAAGGTAATTATTATATTATACTATACAGCTAAAGAGACTGGTAGAATAAGTTACAGTTGTGAAGAAATCTGTATTAAGTTAAACGCTGTTGGGTCAAGAAATGAGACAGATTCAGATGTCAAAGCAGCTTGACCTGAAACAGAATACCCTGCTCATACAGTCAGGAGAGCCCCTGGCAGAACGTTAGGATAATACTCTGCTCAAACCCACACATATATCTGGTGGCATTTTAACTGCTGTGAAGCTTTTCTTGTCACACAGCTGCAAGACGTTAGCATCTGTTTCAGTGTCAGATTTAATATCCTGGTTACCTGAATCCCCTCGATCTGTCTCTTTCCCCATTTTAAATCCATCCGTTTTCTCCTCAGATTTTGCAGAAGACGTGCCATCAGAACCTGCCTCCACACATTCCTCCTCTGCTGGGCTCTCCAATTCCCTTTGCGAGCGAGTTGTCATGGAGCTTAGCTGCATGTCTGACCGTGACCTGGAAATTCTTAACAGAGTTTTTCCTGTGTCCATAGGGTCTGCATTCTGATCATCCAGGCCCCGACTATCAGCGACACGCGTGCGTCTCTTTCTACAGAATTTCTTGATTTGAACGCACTCGGTTTCCTCTTTGTTACATACTGCTCTCCGTCTTTTGTGTTGGGTATTATCTCGATTCCTCTTTTCTGAGCTCTTTCCAGTTTTCTTATTCTGAACACTTTTTCCACCTGCCACTTTTTTTTTGGTTTTCAAACAGTCCTCTGGTTTTATGCCTTTCATGGTCAAATCTTCAATTTCCAGAGTGGATGTAACATCTTCCAGGTGTCCATTTCTCATCTGAATGTTCTGAATTCTATCCTCTTCACCATTTGGTATACTGTGGCCTTGCGCTTGACTGAGACGATCCTCATTCTCTAAAACAGTTCCCACAGCTTTTGTGCTGTATCTTTTCACCCTCACATGGGTTCTCCTCTGATAAGGAGCTGTAAAATCAAAATCTTCTGCTTTTAGCGTTGTCTCCCCAGTTTTCCGAAAATACTCCACAAGTGCACTTTTTGATCGTAGCTTATTTCCTTCAGGACTGTGGCGTGAAAGAACAGTAAATTAGTGATGACTTCTTCGTTCTCTCGCTCTCCGCTTAGAAAACTGCTCTAGCATCAATAACAAAAATAGTTGACAGGGTGATGTCTAGGCTTAACCAAAACAGGTTTACGCAAAGAGTTTACGGATAACCCTACGCGTTACGCGCTCCATCTCACGAAGCCCGTGTGTGGCACGAGTGCCCTACACAGCCCCACCCCCCC